GGGTTTTTTTCTTTATTTAAATAGTAATAAAGAGCAAAAAAACACATGATTGGAACAATTTTGATACGAATTATTTACTTTTTAACGTGTTGGACCCAGAGCACAATTTGATTATATATTTTCGACATTTGTGTCTGAACTGAACTGTCCACTGTGTAACAATCAAATATAAATCATATGTTAATCTATAATACTTTCAAAGATGACTTCAAGGTGAAGTTCTTGTCAAAGATTCAATAGCATTTTTTGAGAGAATGTACTGTAAACAAAAGAACGATCAATGGAAAAGAGATTTCACTTCCGAATCATCAGCAAGGCCTTATTACTCACCGTGCACTGTAGCCGAAACACTTACAGAAAACCACACCATAAGCTCATAAAGAATAAACAATTGTCTTTAACCCATACCAAGAATGACTAGATCTAACTTGTATCGCCACCAAAAGGAGACTGGAAAAATGCGCTAAAAATAGAATGAGACTGCATTTGTGGGTACTAAACCGAAACTCTGATTCCATGAATTTAGCTATAAATAGGAAAGATGTAGAAAACTAATTATTATTCAAAACAAAACCAAATCACAATTTATGTGTGTACACCGATATAAACACCGAGAACATGTTACTATACGTGTATTTCGATGCTTGTTTCGGTGTATTGCGATTTTTCAGTGTATTTCGGTGTTTCTAGTACTTAGAAAAGTTACGTCAACAGTTTATCACCGAGTTAGCAATATAATATTTATTTGTTTATTACATTTTATGCTAAATATAATTTCCAATTTGTCCATTTGTTTTAATTGATCTCATCTGGTACTGTGCTTTTATTCAATGTCATGTGCAACAGGATGAACACTAATTTCGTGGCTTATCTATTCAAACGATAAACGCGATTAATAAACACCAAACGCGCAATGATTTAATATTTATCTCATTATTGTCTAAAATTAAAAAAAGCAGAACAATTTTAATAACTTCACTAAGAAAGGTGTTTTTTGCGTAAACCAAATCCATAAAAGGTAAATTCGTAATTCTAATATTTCATGATCATGCATTTGCTTCACTGTTGACAGTTATGATAAGCCATCATGGGCACATCCCGTATTTACACAAATTCCTTGGATCGGAAGCGATATCTTCTTACGCCAGCCTCATGTCCAAAGCCAAAGACATCAGTATCGTCTACCAATCGGGATGCGTGCTCAGTACCAACACCGGATCTTGTGTTTGCCAATATTAACTTACATTTGAACAACGTGAAATGGACATAACAGCCAACGTGATATCATCTAGTTTTAACAAAACGCGTCAATTTACTCTCATGAAGTTGTATTCTTCTGAAACTGTAAGTTTTGGAGAACAATATTTTGGTTATTCTACAGCAAATCTGCTTTATCTTGCTAACTCTTGTGAGACAAGCTGCGGGAGTTTGGTCAAAAAACGAGTGTCGCCTGCCTATGACATGGAACTGAAGAACGTAAAATTATTCAGGTGTGAAGATATGGGTGCTGAACACTATCTATTTGTCCGCAAGGAGAAAATCGATAATTGTTTCAAAGGTATGGCATTGAACTCATTTGAAAATGATGGTGATGAGCAAAAAACAATTTACGCATCAAAGAATGTTGAGCAGAATGGTACTCCAGAACCTCCATCGCGGAGTAAAATGGGTACTAACAAATCATCAGAAAACAAATCCCAAGATCAGAAAAGAAAGAATAATGTTGATATTACATATGCCAGAAGCGTCACCTTCCATGAAGCACACGAAAAAGGAGATTCATCATTTCCTGTCTTGTCGCAGAGGAAGAAGCCAAGAATCAGAAATCAGGACAATGATTCCAACAATAGCTGCCCCATTTTAACTTACTTTGCCTGGACTTTATATTACCGTGCTAATGTAATAAACCGATGCAGAACTCCTATCACGATGACACGTACTTGTACTAATTATATCAAAACTTTCAATGTATGTGAGAGATTCCAAAGGGAAGGAAGTGTCTCTGAAATAAAACTGTCTCTAAATTCAAATACAATACAGTTATGCGAATTACGACAAAATAACGCCACAAAATGTCCCGTTATGGGAAAAACTGTTAAATTTGCGTCCATGGATTCGCTTAGTTCTGAGGTGCTGACGGAGATCAAAAGAAAGGTGCACATTAAATATGGAGATAAGAAACGAAGGCGATTAAAAACTAATGGAATCCTAGCATCAACAGTCGCGTGTAGATCAAGAGTAACGGACGGCATCATAAAATCAACACCCGAGTCTAGCCCAACAGTAACAAATGGCACCACAAAATCTGCCCTTGTTTCTACACCCACAACAAAATATGGCATCTTGAGATCAGCCGTCGTATCTATACTAGCAATAAAGGATAAACGCGTGGTTTCCCGATGGATCCGAACATGCAAAAAGCTGATAGGATTTAAAAAGAAAATTAGCCTCACGAAATAGACCTACAGTATTTCTTGTAGGTAAAATGTATGCATTCCGATTCTACAATGTTAATAGAATTGTCAGTGATTCAGTTTTGAACAGGATATTGCATCGCCATATTCAGCTGGAAAGACAACTGTTATTGTTTTAGAAAACATTTTAGCTTGACCTTCATTGCATATACTTTAAAACAAAAAAGGCGAAATAAATATTGAAAAGGCATAAATTTGTAAAAATTCAGAGTAGTGTACAATAATGTACACATTTATGCGTAGTACACAAGTGCAAACATTTTATTGCATTTTCCCGAAAAATGACAGTCTAGGTGTACAATTTGCAGATAATGTTAACTTGCTATGGACGAAAATACATGGTGGAATAAAATGTAAATAGTGAGGAATTCATTTGTATTAATATTAAAAGAGTTTTTAAGTGCAACATAAGTCTCGTCTTCAAGTACACAATAATACAGGGTAAGGTGTGATTTTTGTTTTCTATAGTACAGGTGGAATTGCCATGAAATGTAAATACACTATTGATTATGTAAAATTAAATGCTAATTCTCCTATTTCTACATATTTACAATATTATATAGAAGCTTTGTGTGCCTTTACCGTCTGTTTTCGCTTGTAAGTAGAGTCAAATTGCGAACAAAAAAGATCCAGATTTAACATAGCATAATGTGCCTGCAGATCAAGGTATGTGTTGTTTGTTTTACTTAATACTCCTAACAATCCGCAAAAACCCAGATCTGCCACTGCTGGCGCAATATGCGACGGTATATCTCGATCTTTGCAGTTTGTAGTTAGATTCGACTTATAATAAAGTACATTCGGTATATGCATTTATTTGAGTGAACCCGCATTCAAAATGAACGGATAAGAAGACAAACTGTATATCTGCATTCTATCGATCGTTGTCATTTATTAACCTCTCACCGGACAAAGACAATCATGTCTAGTCCTTAGCATACCACGTCATACCAAATCAGACTTTTTTGCGACAGTTTCATCTATATGAACTAGTTAGTATTACAGCAAGTGGGTTTAAAATGAACGTTTTATATTATGTCGGTCAGCTAGGTTACGGACACTCAATTAGAATGTTATTCAACCATACTTACCGCTGTGCCTGTATTTGGGTTTCTTTGTAACGCCTAATTGACCTCTTCTAGCGTTAGCAATAATTTGCGTGTTCTTATATGTGCATTTGTGTAAATGAACGAGAAAGTGATTAAATATGTAAAGTGAAATTCATGGGTAATGTCCATGTTATCCATTGTTGCCATTTGTTATGCACCTAACCTGGGACTGACCTACGGTGACACAATATCGATATTAGGCTAATAAAAATTATCTTTTTTAAACCGTTTAAAATGTCGCACATATTTGCTTATAAATCGGGTTCTACTATCTACAACACTAACCCTGTAGTTCGATTATTTAATCAATTATGCGATGACCTTTGTTTTATCAGTATAATTATTTTGTTAATTAATCGTTCAGGACAACAATGCCGTGGTCGATCATTTCCGAGATAAAGATAACCAAATTAAAATAGAGACTGGGGATCACATATTATATTACCCCTCGCTCTTGCGGTACAAAAAGAAAAAGAAAATTGGATGATAATCTAATCAACCAAGAGCGCCCGTAGAAATTTCTCCGAGGGGGTTCGGGCAAAATGTTGTGGCTAGCTTTCAAGTCTTATGGAAGTAGGCAAAAAATGTTCAAAGGTAAGTGCACCTCCTTACCCCTATGTACGAGCCCCCATGTGATCAAGCAACTATTAACTGATGTATATGAAACGTAAATAATGGCACAAATGGCATAGTCACCTAGACACTTATTCGTCTGTTGTGACATTAGATGATTTCATTGTAACTGAGCCACTAGCATCACTAATCTGGACCTAAACTTTCTCGCTACACATTGCGAATTCAATAAACGGACAATTATAGTTTTGATATTATTTACATATTCATAATTAACTCGATCAGAGTATACTATAGAAACAATGTTTGGTATGCAAATGAAATGTTTAGATATGAGTATTTGTGTGTAAATTGTAGCGTAGATATGGTACAGTTTTAACCTGACTTGGGATGGAGTTTATAATAAACGAATGCTTGATCTATCTGGTGACCTTATTAATACCACCTTTCGGGCTTGGAATGTTCACCGTCATTTCTTTTGGTAATAAACACCTTACAAAGCCTCGATGCTCTAAACAAAAGATCCACTTTTAATGATGCTGGTTTATACCTCAGCTCATTATCTATCAATTTACTAAATGATCAAACAAGTGTTGTTTTTATTTGTTTCACGCATTCATTTATGTCAGTATTGGTTCTAAACTAACAAATATTAATGTTCGTTCATCTGTACTAAAGAATCAAGAGAGGCAGCAATGGCTTTTGAATTGATAATGCTATCTATATCAAAGGATGAGTGACGATCAAAACCGATGAAACACAATTGTAGAAATCAAATTATTTTTTGTGAATGTATATTTCCCTATGTCATTCTCTCAGTTAATACCTACCATTAACAAACAACCGCTCCGGTGGCCAAAGTGGTTAGAGCGTCTGCCTCGGATGCTGGAGGTCGCGGGTTCAATCCTCGGCTGAATGATACCAAAGACTTACAAAAATTGTAAAAACAGCTGCCTCGCTACGCGCTCAACATCGAGAGGTTATTGTTAGGACTATCTGGTCTGGTGTCATGATAATGTAACTGAGTGGGACATTATGCTACATGTCTGCTAGACTTCATTTTTGTTACAAGCCAGTGGTCTATGCTTGGCAGAGCGATGTCAAAACCCTGACGAGATTCTCGCAAGAAATCATAAATTTACCCCAAAATTTCCAAAACCTTCTACACAACTACAATTGTAAACAAGAAAGCACGACATGTGCATTCTATACATAAACTTTACTCTAATAAATCCATAGATTTCTTAACTTACCAAATATCTATCAACCATACATCTGCATAGTTACTTTTCATCAACTTCAGCAGTTCACGCCGTAGAAGCTCTACATCTATCTCATGACACTGAGAACTATTTTAACTACGCCACCTTAGGTCAGTGAATATATGGTTTCAAGGTACATACGCCAGTACAACTCCATTGTGGAATTACCGATTTCCTACCGTAAATAATGCCACTGTAGTCACGACACCAATGTACCGCACTAGATTTTAATAGGGACTGTATTATTCAGGGATAGTCCCGTGGTTTTGGTCTGTATTCACTACTAATTGACCAGGGCATCATGGAAACTCACTAACACTATCTCTCTCTCTTGGTAATTGGCTAAATATTTCGGGCTTATGAATATTTAAATTGCACCAAATACCGATAATCAAACAAGCTCAAACAAGCAATCATACAAATCTAATAATTCCTTAAACGGGGCGATATAACTAATGTGTATATCCAAACTTTTATTACATTATAAACTGTCACACTGCAGACATCGCAGCGATAAAAATGATAAATGTTAGAGCTACGCTAAAAATCCAAATCACATACACACACGCGTGCGCACACATTAACAATCACGCCCATAATTAAAAAGTGTTCTTCATAATTTTTATTTTCCTTTCATCTTGATTCGCACTATCTTTTCACAGCCTGTAAGGAGTTAAATACAATCCGAGCTATTATCCGTGGTTCAGCACATCTGGGAGCAATTAAAACACGGTTTCATAGTCCGTGTATTCACATTCATTTGTACGCTTTCATTTTCTATAATTGTAAACACAAATTCTCCTGGACGAACAAACGAATATTTATGTGATATTCAGACAAATCCAACAATTATGCTCTAACTTGACTTACTAGAATTTGATGACGTCACAAGCAAAGAAATCGTTTTTGAAGATATATATTCCCTGGAAATTTTTATATATAAAAAAGTGATTCACTCAATCTTAATATAAAGATTTAACAGAAAGTGCTATCCATAGATTCTATAGAAGAATGCTTGATAATAGTGGGCAGAATTAATAATTTAATATAAATATTACAATCATACATGTTAGAGAATTTTAATTCGTACTCTGCAGAGTTTCGAACCCAGGTCCGCAAGTAAAGTGCACCACTAGCCTTACCTGCAGACACTATTCCATATCCCGTCACGACTAAGCAAGTATCACCAAAAAATGAAGGTACTGTAATTAGCGGTAGTCGGCTAGCCCGAGGCTAGTATATTTCCTGTCAGACTAGTAACTTTCATACGATTATTAGTCGGATGGGCTAGTAAGTTTCGGTTATCAACAGTCAGCATTTTTATATGCCATTCCTTAATAAAGAATTGACTTAAGCAGATGTTCTGTAGAATCAAAGCAGTGACCATTGTAAACACCGGCATAAAATATTAGCATGAGAAAATGATGTAAATATCTACCTTCGAAAGGTGCATTTTTAAAAAAATAAAAAAGAGGCAATCCGATTTTGTGCATTTCACTTAACGCCAATTGTGGTTCTTTCGTTAACAACGGAAGTTTGGTAATTGACCCTAATTAATCTGATAATGAATTAAATGAAAAATTACGTGGTATCACACTTTATTCACTCGACCACAGTAATAAACTACAACGCGGTATACCACACAAAAGAAAACCGCTTTGGTGGCATAGTGGTTAGAGCATCCGCCTCTGATGCGGGAGGTCGTGGGTTTGATTCCAGGTCGAATCATACCAAAGATATACAAAATTGGTACCAAGAGCTGCCTCGCTTGACGCTCGGCATTAAGAGGTTGGCGTAAGGACTGGTCGGCCTAGTGTCAGGATAATGTAACTGGGTGGACATAATCTTTCGTGTCTGTGGCATGATGCCTCAGTGCTAGACACTATAAACTTCCACACTGCAGACATCGTAGCGATATGACTCAAAGACACGGCATAAAACTGTTAAACGAAAATTTATTATGCGTGTTTAAGGTTGTTGTTTTTTTTTTTTTTTTTGGTTGCTCGCTAGACAAACACTCCAACAGTCACAAACGGGAAACTACATATTTTACAGTTACATAATAATTTTAAGAAATCGATCAATTTATTACGATTACATTACTGACACTTCCTTTGAATAAATCTACTTTTTCTACGATCATAAGAATAGATTTTAAATGTTTCTCTTACAAGAATGAACAAATAATTGAATACACATAGAGATATCCAAACGGAATGCATTAAAATCTCTGAGCATGGGCATCTATGATTTGAAAATTTTCCATCTTATTATTAATTTGAGCAATACACTGAGGTTCGATTAATTAGGAACAATCAACAAACTTTCGATATCAATGTTGAGACCGTAATTTTAGCGGTTAAATACAACGAGCCGAGTCTGAGTGCTTCCTTTGATGGGAACACAATTTTTCTAAGCTCAGACTAACTTTATCTTCTGATGCTAATATTTTATAACAGTGGTTACAATAGAACGTCCGCTGAAGTCAAGTCTTTATGAGGCCATTCACTATGGAGGGGTGGGGCAAATGCACGTGTTTTGAACCGTTTCTTGCTCTGACTTTCTTTTATAGGACACTGCCATTCGTTTTCTTACTGTAAATACTTCGCGTCAGCTATACTGGAACATCTCGTATTTCAAAACGAGACACAATTCTCTTTATATAAGACAAGCAAAATATGGCGTTTTATAGATGTCCAGCTACCGGAAAGTAAAGCAAACGTTGAAGGAAAATGACATGAAGGAGAGGAATAATTCTTATGACAGGGAAAAACGTAATCGAAGATTTCAGGAGACATGGACAAAGAATAAGAAATGACTAAAAATGATGAAGAAAATAACGTTATTCGGTGTAACTGGTGTACGGAATTCGCAAAAATACCCAGTGTCGTTGCGGATTATTTGATCTTTAAAAATGAATCGGTAAATGTACCTGAAAGCTGCGTGCAACAACAAAAAAAAAAGAGTTCAGATTTTTTAAATTTTTTATTATTTTTTTTTTTAGAAATGTACAAATTATTGAAAAGAACCGAAGACCCTTCACTGATTTTGTTTGGATGTGTCAGCTGGATGAGATGAAAGGAGTTGATGTTGGAGAGACTTACAAGATGTATACACATGTTGTTACATTTATTCACTACATGGTTGTTCCGAAGTGAAAGGCAGAAATCTGTTTTAGTGGAGCATTTCTAGTACTAATATTAGTTCCCTTAGTCATACGTTGTGGACAGGGTACCAACACGAGTCTATGTGTGTCACTGGAGCAGCAGGGTGTGATTCACATTTAGCTCTTTTTTAGCCTAATATAAAAAATATTGAACACGTTTTTTGAAATATAATGAAATAAATTGAGTAGTCCTCTTATTTAATACTGGAATTATCACATATCATTGTAGAAATAGTAAAATCTCGTTTACCTTCTTATCCAATATTTTCGTTTTCATCGTCCACCTTATTAGTTCAAATAATGCCTACTTCCGTTCTCAGCCTCGTTTGTTTGTGTGCCATATAAGGACGTTAAAGCCTAATTTGGAAACGTAAACAGAAAGTAGTAAAAAAAATATTGCGCGGTTTGAGTCGAAAATTCTGCACATTAAAAGTAAATACAGTTTACCGGTGACTTTGAAATTCCACCAAGAAGCAATTATTTTCTCAACAAAACTGTATTCCGCAATTTATGCAAGTATACATTCTCCATCTTCTTGCGTTATGTCATTCAACAATTAATACTATAGCGTATAGTATCCATATATAGTTGGGCAAGCCTTATGTAGAAATGAGGGTCACGGCGAGAGTCTCGCGTCATCTGTCATGGTGGACACGATGAGGTTAGCATAACTATGCCAGTTTATTTTACCGTGTAAGGGCTTAATAAATTCAAAATAAGCCAAAATTCTTTGACAAAATGATTATACTGATCTAAACTATTTGTGTTTCTGACTTTAGTGAGGATTTTTTTGTTTGCTTCATTACGTGATATGGGATCAGCTCGTAGCCTCAACCACAACAAAACAAGTTGAGCCTACGACATCCTAGCAAGAGCATTTCCAGCCAGTGCTTGTCAGTGAAAGATATCAATGCTGATGCAGTGTAATTAGAATGGGACATTTAAAGAGTTTAGTCAACAGCAAGTAGGTGTATATTCAAATATTTAATAAAAAAAAATACAAGAAACAATATTGATACCAGAGTTATATAAAAATTCATTATTTAACACAGTATCTTGATTACAAAAGGTAACCATTTAAAGAGCTCTTAAAAACAAATTAATATAGACATTATTTAAATATTGACATTAAATTTTTTCTTTATGTAAATTTATTCAGATTAATATTTTCTTAATGTGTTCTTTTATCTTGCAATTACAAAGACATCTATGCTTTGACTTCGCCCACAGTTGTGAAGTCATGTGCTGCTGACTGCAAGAATATTCTGGCATTGACTGACCTCATCCTGACAATCCCAGCCCACTCTGCTGATGCTGAGAGGGGTTTGGCTGAGATGAAAATGGTGAAGAGTGACTGAAGATCATGTTTGTGACCTTGGGTTCTGTTCGACCTTCTCATTTTGATGTTCCAAACAAATGATATTCCAATGTATGATAAATGACCAGCAATACATTTGTGTAAGGAGACAAGAACAGAACCCATATGGACTCGGAGTGAAGGTGAAGGATAAGAAAGGACACATGGATCCCATTCTGGAATTAGATCCAGATTATCTAGAGAAACAAGAAATATGAATTGACTGATTGATGATTCCAAGCAGGATTTATACTTGTATACTTATATACTTCTGCATTTCTTATGATAATGCTATTTAGGAATAGAATTGTTGTTAATCTCAATACCATTATGTGGCATTGTTTTGAGGACAGGCCTAGTAAAATATACTTGTATACTTATATACTTCTGCATTTCTTATGATAATGCTATTTAGGAATAGAATTGTTGTTAATCTCAATACCATTATGTGGCATTGTTTTGAGGACAGGCTTAGTAAAGATTTAGCAGGACTAGTACATTTCTCAACATACTAGTCCTTCTGGTTATCAAGAAATATGTGTTAAATTCGAGCCCTGTTAAATAATAAACTGTGTTTGTGTGTATATAGTTTAATACAAACAATACTATCATACAGGTTAGAGAAATTAAATTCGTACTCTACCGAGTTTTGAACCCAGGTCCGCGAGTAAATGGCACCCATCGCCTTGCCTGCACGCACCAACCCATATACCGTCACGACTAAGCACGCTTCACCAAAAATTGATGGCACTGAATCGGTGTTATATAAGCTCGTGCGTAGCAGACACTCGCATGACGACCTAGTAATTAATTCTTTTATATATACACTGTCGTTCCAGATTCCTATGAAAGAAATCAAGGTATATAGGATTTTTGTATTACAAATAATTATAAATATATACCAGACAGAACAGACTGTGCTATCCCTGGATTCTGTAGTAGAATCTTGATAAAAGTGGGCAGAAATAATAGTTTAATACAAACAATACTATCAAACAGGTTAGAGAAATTAAATTCGTACTCTACCGAGTTTCGAACCCTGGTCCGCGAGTAAATGGCACCCATCGCCTTGCCTGCACGCACCAACCCAAATACCGTCATATATACGCGACATCTTTCCAAGTTTCTAATACCGGACGATTTAATCGGTTGGCTCAAGAAAAACATATCAATCTAAAGCACTAACAGGCACAGTGAAGACTTGATAATTTTGCGTTTTATGAACTTCCAGAAAAATATAGTGAGAAATGAGAAGATACTGAACAGACGTTTAGGCAATATATAATTGATACAATGGAATTCGGAGGGGTGGGGGTGGAGAAACTAGCTCCCAGCCTAAAATGAACCGAGAAATCTCGACCAGCCAATATTGCTTTATCTAAATATAAGGACAAGGAACGACTTTAAATAAAATAAGTTTTGGAAACGATGAAGTATTACGTGATATTGGCGTCGATCGAAACACCGTTATGCTATGTCCAATTAATCCGTATCTATTCATAGCCAGAGCCGTATCTAAGCATAGCGGTAGGCTATCGTGCTCAAACGTGTCGAGCAAGGACAAATTTGTATCATATTTTTAAATTCGCTATCGAGGATATTCATATTTTAAAAGCGATAAACTGTTGATAGATAGTTAAACATACATATTTGGGGAAAAAAGAAATCGTACTTTTTATTGGAAAAAAAAATAATTAGGAATTTGACAAATCTTTTAAAAATGTTCACTGCGGAATTTGACAAATTTTTCAAAAATGTTCACTGCGGAATTTATCTGGCTCAGCGGGAAGATTCAATTTATAAATTTAATAATAATAATAATAATAATAATAATAATAATAATAATAATAATAATAATAATAATAATAATAATATCATCAACTTTATTTACTTCATAAAAAATAATAAAAGTTATTTATTACAGGTAACTCTACCAAGAAATACTAAACTTTTTTTAAAATTTACTCAGTGAATAATAAGTGAACGCATTAATCTGCCTTGAGATCTTTTTTATAAAAAAAAAGAAGATACAATGTCAAAACTGGTAGTCAACGGATGCGCTTTACTGATACGGTCAATCTGGGGTTGTACAATTGGAACCGTTATACCTGTTGATACCGGACGTCGCTACAAGAGCTTAAGGAATAACTTCGTAAAAATAGGTTATTTTTGACGGGAGTTGTTTCCCCTACCAGTACACCGCAT